TTATTATTCAAATGGTTAATGTTCACAGGTTTCTGATTCACACGAGTATTTATGAAATTTTAGTAGTGTTTACGGGTACCTTACAGCCTTAAATTGTTTTACTTGGATCGCTAGTTAATTTAGGGTTTCGTCTGTTTATAAAAGGTGGGATGTCACATTATGGGATGCTGATGTTATTGGATTGAATTTTATTTTATGAAAGAAAAAAGTACTCCTTTTCTTGGCTTGATTTACAACCTTACTTTTGCTCCTTTATTGTTGATCCGTACGTGTTTGAGGTTCGAGAAAAAGGTAGATTTAATTTCCCACCTTTCCTTTCTGCCTCATGGGATATTTCTTGCTTAGTTGGTACACTTGGGGTCAGTATAGGAAAGCATGACTAGGCCCCGAAACCCAGCCTTGGGCTGGGCCAAGGAACTTGGCCAGAGTCCGAGTAACTCAGCCAGAGTCCGAGTAACTCGGCCTGAGTTGGGCAAGTCATGGGCAGGCCAAAAAGTGTTAAAAAATAAAAGATACCAAAAAATCCCAAAAAAAAGAAGATAAATGTGTTCAAAGTAAAATGAAACAAAAACATCCTAATGAGGTTAAAAAAGTAATGAAAACATTGATTTGAAAAACTCAATCTGTGACTGGTGGTATTTTAGAGATAATCCAAAAAGAAGGAAAAAATGTAAAAATAAGTATTCATGACCAATACATTTCCCCATTTTTTCCAATATGATAAAGTATCAAAAAACTTTATTTGTAATATTTTTTTTTTAAGATCCCGAGCTTGACCACCAAAACTTGGGATACTAGGGCTCACTAGGGTGGCAAGCCGGAGTTACTTGGGCGAGTCCGGGTTGGCTTGCCTGAGTAGTTGAACACTGCTTGGGACACATTATTGCTTTGAGAGCAAGTTTGGTTACTGAATCCAAATATTCTTCGTGGTCTGCAGAAATGGAAAACCCCTACTAATAGAAGGTTGTATTGAGTGTAACAATGAAGACACTACAGCCAAATTTTAAGGCTACTTCTCATGTGAAGAATTTGTTTCTTCAGGTTCAATAGTTTTGCCATTGATCTATCCCAATGTACTTCTTCCACTGATAAACATATTTGCAGATTGCGACCATTCCAAATTATTTGTCTTATCAAGTTTAATGTTTATAATATGCAATTCAGGGTTTATCCATGTATAACCATGTGTGAGGTTTTACTCTAGGAGTATTAGAGGTGGTAGAGGAGTGCTTTGAATCACTAATATTAGATTTATTGATCACTAAGCAGCTTGTGCAAGCCATAGAAAGGTTGTTGTTTAACACAACCAGCCACTTGAAACTTGTTGATAAAGAAATTTTTTTTTTTGCAGATTTAACGCAAGCAATCACTTGAAACATGCTG